TATGATCAAATAGCATAGAAAAATAGAACATTCTTTTCTCTATCAGACTATATAAAAGAAAGTTTCTTTAACCTTTCTATAAGGGATAAAAATACCACTGCCACTACTTTTGGTATGCCCTAAGTAGATTACGAAAATCATAAAATCCAAAATTAAAAAAAGAAACCTCAGGAAGTAAAACCGTAAAGGTTAAAACCATAGAAACAAGACCGTCCACTTTCGAACTATCGAAGAAAAACCCTAAAGTAAAACCGTCAGTTTAAGAACTGTAAGATGAAAACCATGAAAATCTATCTTACAGCTCAAAACTGTAGAAACCAAACCATGAACTGCCACTTTGTTAAAAGTAAACAATGAAAACAAAAGCGTGAAGAGGAAAACCGGATTTTCTCCTTGGTGACTTTGTCGAAAGTGACAACTAAGATGTGGCATCGATAGAACATGAAGAGTTCTATCTGGAGCCAGTGGAGAAACGAATCTATGCAATGTAATTTGAAGCTACCTGAAGAGTCTCTTGAGAAAGAACGAAACCGATCACAGCAGATTTTCAACATTACTCAGTCTCACTCTCACTCCTCAACACGGTTTAGATAAATTTAAAGTTCTGCTTCTTCATAACTTATTTTTCTACGTGAATCCATAACACATCAAAATATTTCTCGAAACATTTTATTCCCTTGGTTACAAAGCCGGAATGTTGAATGATGCGGCGGAGCAGACAAAACCGCTTGACTAAAATGTGTGTCCGCTAATGATCTTCTACCACTTATTGCATGAATTTTGCTGATGAAAAGATGTGTGGCTGTTCTTGGGTGACTTGCGATAGTAGAGTATTCAAGTTGAAGGGCAACAGACATTTGAAGAAATTTTATACATGCTTGAGCAATTCTTAATTAATTGAGACAAGGGCATAACTACGCCCCTCCCTCCCGTAGCTACGCCACTGACTACCGGTTATATTATTTTCAGAACACTCTAATATATATTTACGTTTGTGGTTAGTTATCTATGTTTCGAAGAGAAACAGTGGTTTTTGGAAGAGAGAAACCTGTATCGACAATATAATTGTTTTCATTTAATATTTTTGCAATGTATTTTCAAGTGATTGTTACACCCTTTTCTTCTTTTTTGTTAATCATTTTTTCAAAAAAAAGCAATAAACAATGTGTTCTCTTTCTCCTCTATTCCATTCTATACCTCCTCTTTTTATGCAACATAAAATACCATGGAAAAAAGAGGAAGAATGCCAATAACATGATACGATGATAGCATACAAGAATCAAGTGAATCTTCTTATGTCAGAAGAGATCTCTTCTGACACAACAATGATGTTCGTTCATCGATCGAAAGAATAAAATGTTTCGAGAAATATTTTGATGTGTTATGGATTCACGTAGAAAAATAAGTTATGAGGAAGAAGCATAACTTTAAATTTATCTAAACCGTGTTGAGGAGTGAGACTGAGTAATGTTGAAAATCTGCTATGATCGGTTTCGTTCTTTCTCAAGAGACTCTTCAGGTAGCTTTAAATTACATTGCATAGATTTCAAACGAAAATCGGAAGGCTATTCGTAAACCTCCAATATTCATTTTGGAGTATTTTGTCGTTGTGATGCCGGTAATCCAGAGATGGAACCGGTACCGGTCCAGACTTTAGACCGGTAATTATGTTAAAACGAAAGATTGTTTTTTTATTTTTCTGATAGAACATTTTTAATTCGAATTTATTTCGAAAAAGATATTTCAACTTTTATTTTTTTGATTCAGTTTAAGAAAACTATAGTTAAAGAAAACTATATGTTAAATTTTTTTGGAGTCTTTTGTCGTTGTAATGTCGTTAATCCAGAGATGGAACCGGTACCGGTCCAGACTTTAGACTGGTAATTCTACCGATATTTGCTGATCTAACAGGTTTCTCTCTTCCAAAAACCACTGTTTCTCTTCAGAACATAAATATATATTAGAGCTTAGAGACGTAAATATATATTAGAGCTTTCTGAAAATAATATAACTGGTACTCAGTGACGTAGCTACGGGAAGGAGGGACGTAGTTACGCCATTGTCTCAATTAATAAAGAATTGCTCAACGATGCTCTAAAATTTCTTCAAATGTCTGTTGCCCTTCAACTTGAATACTCTACTATCGCAAGTCATCAAAGAGCAGTCACACATGTTTTCAGAGGGGAAGGGTATAGTGAATATCTTCTCCGTTATGGGGATTTTCTCCCTGGTGACTTTGTCGAATGTGACAACTTTGTTATGTCGCTGTGAGATTGCATTATTAAGGTCAGATTCAAATATTTTTCAGCAAAATCATTATCGTTTCGTCTCTGCTGAACAACTCCACGGCAAATATATCTAGCTTCTAACCTGATGTAATTTTCTTGGGCTTTTTCCTTGTCTCCATTGATATATTCTAACAGAAGATTATTCACATTACTGAATATGTGTTCTGCTTCCTCATGATTCTTAATTTTTGATAGTAGAGTATTCAACCTGAAGGGCAAGAGACATCTGTAGAAATTTCATAGCATCATTGAGCAATTCTTTATTAATTGAGACAATGGCGTAACTACGCCTCCCCCACCCCGTAGTTACACCGTACGTCATCTTGGTGAACAGTAGTATAATAAACGCCGAATGCATAACTATGTATTACGAGACGTTTCGTACAATATCTTAGTACATCCTCAGTCAGTACTAAGATATTATACGAAACGTCTCGTAATACATAGTTATGCATTCGGTGTTTATTATACTACTATTCATTTTGAAATGTATTCACCGGTTAATTAAAAAGAAACCTGAATCAGTTGGTGAACAGTTTTCTATCGTACTTGGTAGCCATTTTAGGTCGGCATTGATGGAAGAAATAACAAAATTACTTGGTTGTAAACATATTACAGTGTCCCTATATCATCCAGAAGCAAATGGGCAGTGTGAACGCTTTAATGCAACATCATTCCCAAAAATCCTGGCACTGACGAATGAAAAGCGTAATAATTGGGATGATAAATTAAAACGGCATGCATTTAAGTGGTCAGTAAAATAAATGAAATGGTCAGTAGATGAAAAAAATCAAAAATCAGTAAATTTATTGAATGGTCAGTAAAATGCTGATTGATCAGTGAACAAATGAAATGGTCAGTTATTAATGATACAGGTTTGTAATTAAATGAAACGGTCAGTAGATAAAATGAAATGAAAAGTATAAAAGCTTACATGTGCCGTGGTATGGTTCACTTCTATTTTTCTCTTTCCTTTTACTATATGTCAACAAATGATAGGTGGTATATTTTCTCTTTCGTTCTTTTGTTTTAATATGTATGAAAAGTACATGTTGCGTTTCAGTTGGAATTTTCCTCGATATACTCAGTGATCATATGTTTCGTCCATTGGATTTTTCATAATACGATCAGAAATTTCCACATCCAGGCGCGATCTAATACCTATATAAACTCGCGATTATTTCGAATAAACGATTATCATCAAGCGAATGAATTCAAAGATGGAAGCAATGGAAGTAGCTCAGTACGAGAGCGATATATCAGATGAAGAAATGAGTGAAGAACAATGTGCAAAAAATGGAAACAAACGCCATCGTATAAAGAAAAAAAACAAATTTTGGATCAAAGAAACAACATTTAATAATGCTGGTGAAGCAGAGGCATCGCTAAGAAATTAGTCTAGGTGAATTAGAACAGTGGTGTCAAGATAATTCAAATGTCCCAGCTAATGAAAATACGGCTTTCGTTGTTTCTTATAAGATACTGTATGACGATGAAGAAGATGAAGAAGACGACGAGGATGTTGATGATACCAGTGGAAAAGTCTTTCGATTATTTATATCATCTGTCCGTTTGCTTAGTGTTGGATCAGTGGCCTCTCACATAAATGCGGACGCCA